AATAAGTCCGTTGTGATGACTCATACCAAATGAGAAATAAACATGTAATCATCTTCACAAGTGTAGTTTTGTACGACATAGCGTGGCTGTATGAATGTACTTCTATTTAAATTCTTTTAATTACAAAGTGTGAGTGCATAGTGTGATTGCTCTGAAATATTATAATGTGTCTATAATTATAGTGATCAATAATGAACAGAAAATAAATATACATATAGTTTATACGATAACAATTATGACAATGTTGGTGATAATAATTATCGACACAGAAAATAATTACCGACAGAAATAAAGTGCAAGTTTACATACGCGTATACGAACTGATGAATGCGAGAACGTATGCACATTTAAAAAGTATGTATACTCAAAAGCTAATTGTGAAAATTTATCATACTGATAAAACACGTAAAGCTGTTTGTCAGAAGTGAAAAATATTTTATCACATCATTGGCAGTGCTAAAACAAACAATTTACAATAGAAACTTATAGTGTATTTTCACTGATAATGTAAATACTGCAAGAGTAATGAGTATGATTTTAATTCAGAGATTCATTATATCATAAATGTTTAAATCTTGTATCATTGTAATTACAGGTATGTATAATATATATTGTACTATGATGAAATGTCATATAAACTAAGTTTGTTGCTCTAAAGGTTTATGAAATATATTAAAGTACTTTCTGAAAATTTTGTAGTATATTCTTCTTTATTAGTTACTAAAAATATTCAGGTATATAATTTTTAATTTATCCTGTTTACAGCAACACATATGTATAAAGTTATAACTAACTATATAAATAAAATATATACACTTTATTTTTAAAATAGAGGAAGTATATGTTAATGTGGAGTTGGCGTATGACCATCTACATAAAAATTTCTTGTTGCTTGTGGCAACTCTACTTCTATGCCATCTAAATTTTTCGTTAATATAATTTGACAACCTAAAAATAAGAAAATATATTTTATTATTTTAAGCTAATCCTTGACCAGTAATTAAAAATATAGAATATGCTTTCAATTACCCAATCGTGAGTTTTCTTTTAAAAACGGTGCTAAATCTAACAGATCTTCTTCTTTTTCTTCAGCTGTTGGTAATTTATCTAAATAATCATGATGTACATATAAATGACAAGTGGTACAAGCAAGAGATGCTTCACAAGCTCCTTCCATCTCAATTCCATATCTATGAGCTAAATATAATACATTATCTCCTACTTTTCCTTTTACAGGTATTTTTGTTCCTGCCTTGTCAATAAATGTTACATTTACACTAAAAAAAATAGAGATAAAAATAAATTACATTTAAACAGAACATTGTTATATTGCATTCTATATAGTTTTATATTTTATGTTATTTATTATATATATATATATATATATATGTAATATAGTATATTATATGTAGTATATATATATTATATATATAGTAATTTATAAAATATATTAAAATTTTACCTACATATCAGCTTCTGATTTCGGATCTTGCATTTCATATTCACCGTGAAATGAATCTAAAAACATATATGAATATATATAAGTATTTATAAATGTCCCAATTATATTACGCGTTTGAATTATTTGTTTACAACATGTTTAGCGACATCTATGCTGACATTTCATAAAAGAAAACGTATTTACATTTCGATGTATGAAATTCAATAGTTGGTGTAGTTATTAAATGATTCACTGGTAAAAGCGACTTTTGTATTACGTGTTTCCATGGTATAGGTCGCAGAATAAATGTCATTTTTATTGTTGTTTTGATTTCAATCCCTGTTCCAATTTTATGAGGATACCACGTTCATTACACAAATAAAAATATTCTTTATTCCACTAAACATGAAAGATAAAGATTGAAAACTTGTTGAGTCATGTCGATATTGTAATACATATGTTTGCGACTTGCGACCAGTTCCCTAAACAAAATACAGAGACGAAACTCCTATCGGAATTTTTGATGTTCATGTTGTGTTTCCAAAATT